GCTCGCCTTTCCTGAGGCGCGACCCGAGCTGCTCCAGCTGCACTTCCTGGCGGCGGCCACCGAGACCCCTGTGCTCAGCTTGCTGCGGCGGGAGGCGCGCGCGCCCCTCGGTGTCCCGGTACGCTCGGTCCCCGGGGAGGAGCCCGGCGTCGGGACGCAGCAGTTCCTGGGGCTCCTTAACCCAGATGCAGTGCAGGAGCCCCGGGCGCGCGGCTGCTGGCCGGGGCTCCGGCGCACAAAGTCCCTAGACGGCCCCTGGGAGACAGCATAGCGCTTCCCGGGTTGTCGGGGTGAGGGCGGCTGGCGCTAGGACACCCGTGCGCGGCCCGCAGGCCCCTGCCCCTCACCCTCCCCGGACACCCGCTTGCCACCCCCTACCCCTGCCCCTCACCCCTTGGACACCCGCTCACTGCCCCCTGCCTCTGCCCCTCAACTCCCTGAGGACACCCGCTTGCCACCCCCTGCCCCTCACCCCCTTGGACACCCGCTCACTGCCCCTCCTTGAGGACACCTGCTCACTTCCCCTCACCTCCCTGAGGACACCTGCTCACCACCCTTTGCCCCTCACCTCCCCCGGGACACCCGTTCGCTGCCCCTCATGGCACACTGCCTTCTTCGGATCCCAGTGCTCAGCGATCAGGTCCTGATCCGGAATCCTCCCGCTGCGCACCTGAGACGCCGACCAGCGGGAAAGACAGTTCTCCCTTTCTGGCAGGTGCGCAGTGCTGGCACCCACGAAGGTATCCCCACGCCCCGGTCTCCTGTGAGTCCTCAGGCCCCACCCCATCACTCCAAACCCAACACTTTCCCTCCAGCCTTTCTCAGCCTTGGAGTCCTCGATCAAGACCCCCACCAGGTCCTGGTCTGGGGCAGAGGCACTTTGGGCAAGACAAGAGAGAGGTCCTCAATGTGGAGACGTGGCACAGGGAACGTGGACGAGAGGACACATCCTAGACACCCAGCCTCAGACAGCACCCTAGGCCTCCCACCATATAAACCACCCAGCTCCAATCTGAGGGCTCCTCCAGCATATCTCTCTCCATAAAGCTGGGGAGCTCTAACCCCAAGGAAGGGCCAGAAGCTCATCAACCTGCTGGATTGGTCTCCTAACCGGCCTCACTCCCTAACCCTATCCGGCTCCCTAAACCCATCCAACTCCCTAACCCCAGCCGGCTCCCTATCCCCACCTGGCTCCCTCAGGCCCTGCTCCCTAACCTGGCTCTGCATGTGTGCAGAACCCCAAGGGCGCCCTCTGGTGCAGCGACAGGAGGAGTAACGTGCCAGCGTGGACGGTCACTGGGGTTCCTGACCACCTGGAGAGCACCCCTCTGGCAATATGTGAGGAAGGGTCTTAAGAGGCCTCCTCAGCCCTGGCAGGGCCCCAGAGGGGTCCTAGACAGTGGACAGAGGGCAAGGTCAGGACAACAGTGAAGGGACCTGGTGGGGCGGTGAAGTCTTGGAGGGCCTGGGTCCTGCATGGGCATTGGGGGAGGGTGTAGAGAAAGGGCAGGGGAGGGGGGCTTGAGGAGTGGGTTAGCAGAAAGAGAGATGGATATTCCAGGTGGGGAAATAGGTGCAGTCAAGAAAAATGAAACCAAACCCTTCAGAGGGGGCACCTCCAGGGTGGCCGGGAGCTAGGAAATGCAGGGGATACAGGCTGAGCACTGAGAGTGGGACGGAGGCACTGGGGAGCCACAGAAGGCTTTAGAGCAGGGCTGGGTGAGGCAGACACCTGTCCATGAACGCCTCGGACAGGTGGGAAGGGGTGTGGCGCGACTCTCACTGCAGCTCCCCCTCCCCAGAACCCCTTCCACCTGCAGCTGGACTGGGCCAGCTCCCTGGAGACCCTGCTGGCTGTACTGGTGTCAGTGCTGCAGGGACACGCCTGGGAGGATGTGGGCCTGGTGCTGTGCCGTGTTCGGGACCCCAGCGGCCTGGTGGCCCTCTGGACGCACCAGGCTGGCCGTGCCCCACAGCTGGTGCTGGACCTGAGCCGGCCAGACACGGGTGACGCAGGACTGCAGGAGCGCCTGGCACCGCTGGGGGCGCCGTCGGGGTCTGAGGCTCCAGTGCCCGTGGCCGTTCTCCTGGGCTGCGATGCCGTCCGCGCCCAGCAGGTCTTGGCCGCCGTGCCCCCAGGCCCTCGATGGCTGCTGGGCACACCGCTGCCCGCCGAGGCGCTGCCCACGAAAGGCTTGCCACCCGGGCTCCTGGCGCTGGGGGAGATGACCCGACCCCCTCTGGAGGCCGCCATCCAGGACGCGGTGGAGTTGATGGCACGTGCACTGGGCAGCTGGGCCCTGGTGCAGCCGGAGCGAGCCTTCCTGCCTGCGGTGGTCAACTGTACAGAGCGGAAGCCCGCTGGGCCAGAGTCCTCGGGCCGCCTTCTGGCGCGGTGAGCACTGGCCTGTGAGGGCGGGCTGGGGTGACCTGTGTGGAGGGGTGAGGTGGCCACACGGTTGATAGGAGCACTGTGCACGGTGGTGTGGTGTACTCGCAGCGTGCGGAGCCCTGACAGGTTGACACACCCCACCCTGGTCTAGGTGGGGTCCTAGAAGCAGAGCCCGGCGGGGGGAGTTCAGGTGACAGTTTATTGGGGTGCTTTGGGAAAGGGGAAGTCCGGAGGCACGGTAGGAGCCCTCAAGTGTGAACCGCACTGGAGTCGGCTCCCCTGGGAGTCAGCGGCAGCTCTTGTACTCCACATCTGCCCAGTCAGGCTCCACCCCCTCCCAGGGGTCAGCGCCCCCAGGCGTCAGGGCTGGTCCTCACACCCCAGTGTCTGCCCGCCTTAGGAGGGCACGTCTCCATCCAGACCAGGGAGTAGGGGACCACCCGTGGTCAGAGCTACAGGTGGCCCGGACTGGGCAGCAGTGTTCCTCAGTCGCCCCACCCACAGTGTCCTCTGCTGTTGCCGTTGGAGGAACCAGGACAGGGGCTCCAGGGACACCAAGCAGGTGGAGGCGGGTCTGAGGGTCCCCTGCCGCCCGCCCCCCAGGTTCCTGGCCAATACATCCTTCCAGGGCCGCACCGGGCCCGTGTGGGTGACAAGCTCGTCCGTGGTGCATATGTCCCGCGCTTTCAAGGTGTGGAGTCTGCGCCACGACCCGCGGGGCGCGCCGGCCTGGGCCACGCTGGGCAGCTGGCGCGACGGGCGGCTGGAGCTGGAGCCCGGGGTCTCTGCGGGGAGGCCCCCGCCGCCTCCGCGCGCCCAGGCCCGGCCGCGGCTGCGCGTCGTGACGCTGGTGGAGCACCCGTTCGTGTTCGCCCGCGAGTCGGACGAGGACGGCCAGTGCCCCGCGGGCCAGCTGTGCCTGGAGCCGGGCACCAACGACTCGGCCGCGGTGGACGCGCTCTTCGCCGCCCTGGCCAACGGCTCGGCGCCGCGCGCACTGCGCAAGTGCTGCTACGGCTACTGCATCGACCTGCTCGAGCGGCTGGCGGAGGACGCCGCCTTCGCCTTCGAGCTGTACGTGGTGGGCGACGGCAAGTACGGCGCACTGCGCGACGGCCGCTGGACCGGCCTGGTGGGCGACCTGCTGGCCGGCACGGCGCACATGGCCGTCACCAGCTTCAGCATCAACTCGGCGCGCTCGCGCGTCGTCGACTTCACCAGTCCCTTCTTCTCCACCAGCCTGGGCATCCTGGTGCGCACGCGCGACACGGCCGCGCCGCTGGGCGCCTTCGCGTGGCCGCTGCACTGGTCCATGTGGCTGGGTGTCTGCGCGGCGCTGCATGTCACGGCGCTGGCGCTCACGCTCTTCGAATGGCGCAGCCCCTTCGGCCTCACGCCGCGCGGCCGCAACCGCGCCACCGTCTTCTCCTGCTCGTCCGCACTCACGCTCTGCTACGCCATCCTCTTCGGGCGCACCGTGTCCAGCAAGACCCCCAAGTGCCCCACCGGCCGCTTCCTCATGAACCTCTGGGCCATCTTCTGCCTTCTTGTGCTGTCCAGTTACACGGCCAACCTGGCGGCCGTCATGGTGGGGGACAAGACCTTCGAGGAGCTGTCGGGGATCCATGACCCCAAGGTGGGGTGCCACGTGGGGGAGGGGACTGGCAGACACCCGCGAAGCCAGGAAGCCGGCCAGGGGGAGGGCCCTCCTGGAGGCATTGAGGGGGCAGCTGTGCATGTGAAAGGGGCTCTGGTGGTCAGTGTGTTAGGGGTCACACTGCAAGTGGGAAGGTTGGAGGTTCAGGTCCACCATCCGCCCTGAGGGGGCTGGCCAAAGGTAGGCCATGGAGGGTCACTGGGCTGCACCTCCCTCCAAGGGCAGCGAGTCTGACGTCCTGGTCAGTGAGTCCCAGGACCCCTGGTGGAGAGATAGGGAAGTGCCAGCCATGGGAACCCACTGGCCCCTTAGCGTAGTCACCTGCCAGGGTGGTGGCCTCCTTCGAAGCTCTGTGGGGACCTCGTTTATCTCGCGGGCACTGCGGTCAGGGCTTACTGGGGAGCAGGGGGTTGGGTGCTGGCTGGTTTCAGCCTGTCCCGGGAGCTCACGGCTGCTAACCAAGTGAGCAGGGAAAGGTCACCCAAAGGCCCCTCACAGGGGACACCTGTCAACTCTGGCCGGAAATCCACTGGGAGGCCCACCACAGGGACCCTGTGCACAGGCAGCAGAGGGTGGGGTCAGTGTGTGTGCCTGGTGCTGGACTGGGAACCCAGCAGGACAAAGCTGCAGAGACCCTTGCCCTCTGGAGGTGACCAGAATCAAGATAAATAAGCAAATTAGATATATGGGGTGGGCGTGGCAGAGCCAACCTTCTGTGGCCACGTGGGTTCCAGGCTGTGAGACTCTCCTCGGGCTTATTTATGGGTCAGGACCACCTCCCCTCTCTGGCAGAGTGTCCTGGCAGATTCAAACCGCTGACCTTCTGCCTTGCAGCCCCACACGTAAGGCTCTAGTCCACCAGGGCTCCATAGATGTGGGGAGGTGGAGACCTGGGAGAGAACACGAGGCATATGGCATGCTGGCCCAGGGTGTCCACACGGGGAGGGGACGTCCTCTGTGAGGGGTGACATGTCAGGTACCGGGAGCTGCACATGAAAAGGCCCTGAGCCCAGACCTGGGGTGTTGGAGGAGGTCCATGTGGCTGGAGGGAGCGAGGAGAGAGGAGGGGGAGGCAGGTGGGGACAGCGGGGTCCTCTAGGGTCCTGTGCACGGGCAGGTGGGCGTCGGGGAAGATGGAGCAGGGACAGTGGTTTGTTCTCATGGGCCTCCTCCAGTACCCTCTGGGGGGACAGGGTGGGTGCGGGCAAAGCGGGGCAGGCCTGCCCCTGTGCACATGTACGCGTGTGTTGCTTCCTGGAACCCTGGTTTGGGCCAATACCTGCAGAGCATCTTGGACTTCTTCCTTCATCCCCCCTGGTTCTTGGTCACGGGCTACCCCCTGAAAAGGTCTGTGTCCACCAACTCTTCCCAGAACAATGACTTTGTACTCCTTCCATTTTCTTTTTTTACTGGTTTACATACAATAGTTTGTTTACATTGTGTTTCAGTCACGTGCATTGTTGGGGGTTTTTTCCCACCCACCAAACTCAGCCAGCCCTGCTTTCCCCCTCGGGGCCCTGGCCCCCTTTGGATTCCCACACCTGCCTCACTTGTTATCCGTCATTTTTCACAATCACGGTCTTAGACAGTGTTTGTTTTGCAGACCATGGTCTTTTGATGCTTCCCGGACTGTTCCGGACATTGCCCGCAGCATCCTTCAATGTCAGCTGGAAGCTCGTGTCTGTGCTTCGGTCCTTCAGCTGGAGAAAGGCCGAGCGAGGGCTTCCCTTTTTCTCTTCTGATCTTGGCTCTTTGCCCCTTTGTGACAACCCTTCGCTCTGTCTTCTGGAGCTGCCCTTCGACATCTCTGTCCAGCTCTTGTATTTTCTCATTTCTTCCCTTGGTTCTGGCTTCTCAATACTCACGTGCGCTTTTTAGTCTCTGCTGACATCGATTTTGGATATTTCTTTCTCCTCCGTCTTTGTCATGACCTTTCGCTTTCTTTCTGGATGGTATCCTTGATGTAGTTCTGCAGGTTAGTCAGATGCATCACTGGACATGCTCACCAGGCTGTGCCAAGAAATCTGGAAGGCAGCTGTCTAGTCAGCTGACAGAGTTTATTCCTATTCCTTAAAATTATAAAACAATATCATTAATATCACATACAAGCAAATTTTGCTGAAGATTATTTAAAAAATGATTAGAACTATTAATCAACAAAAACTGCCAGAAGTTTGAGCTGAATTTAGAAGAGGCCGTGGCACCATCCTGCGATCACTGGTGATGTCAGATGGCTGTTGGCAGAAGGCAGAAGAAACCAGAAGGATGTCTATCTGTGTTTTATTGACTCTGCCAAGCTGTTTAACTGTGTGGATCATAACAAATGGTGGCTAACATTGAGAAGAATGGGAATCCTAGAATACTTAATTGTGTTTGCGCAAAACCTATACTTGGACCAGGAAGCTGTTGTCTAATGAGAGCAAGGGAACGCTATTGTTTGTTGTTATGAGCTGTTGAGTCGCCTGTGACAGCAGCTCTGAATCCTGCCCTGCTCTGCGCCAGTCTCATTGTCTCTGACACACCTACCCCCGTTACCCCAGTTACTGTGTCAGTCCATCGCATCCAGGTCTTCCTCTCCTGGGCTGTCCTTCACTCGTCCAAGCATAATGTCCTTCTCCAAGGACTGATCTCTTCTGGCCACATGCCCAAAGTATGAAGATGGAGCTTCAAAATGCAGACTTTAAAATCAAGAAAGATGTATGTTGGGGCTGTCTAGAAGCTGAACCTTATGAAGAAGAATGTGGTTTTGGAGGAAGACTCATCAACAACCTGTGCTATGCAGATGACACAACCTTGCTCGCTGAAGGTACGGAGGACTCGAAGTGCTTGCTGCCGAAGATCAGAGAATGTGGATTACATCTTAATGTCAAGAAAAGAAAAATCCTAACCACTGGGAGCTCTGGTGGCCTAGTGGCAAGGAGCTGCAACTACAATCCCAGAGGCTCACGGTTCGAATCCACCAGATGCTCTGCCGGGAAAAGGAGGAACAATCTCCTCCTGTACCAGTCAGATCTGATCTGATGGTACACTCACACAAAAAGAAAATAAAAAAATCCTAATCACTAGACCAATAGACAATAAATATTATGATAGATGGAGAAAAGATAGAAATTGTCAACAATTTAGTCTTGTTTGGATCCACAACCAACACCCTAAGTACCAGCAACAATCAAGAAGTCAGGAGACATATTGCACTGAGCAACTTTACTGTCAGAGAAATTTCCAAATTGTTGAGGAGCAATGATGTCAGTTTGAGGACCAAGGTGTGCCTGATTCAAGCTATGGTCTTCTCAATTACTTGCTACGCATCCGTAAGTGAGTTATGACAGAACAATAATTGGTGTCTTTAACTTTGGCATTGGGGAAGGCTATTGAATATTCCACTGACTGCTGAGAGAACAAACAGGTCTGTCTGGAGAAGGTGAACCTGGTGCACCTTGGAGGCAAAGGAGGAGAAGCTCCACCCACATACTCTGGGCATGTTGTTAAGAGGGGCTGTCCTTGGAGAAGGACATCATGCTTGGAAAGGTGGAAGGTCAGCATAAGAGAGGAGGACTCTGAATGAGATGGAGTGACAGTGAGTAATAGTGGGGTCCAGTGTGTCGGAGATGGTGAGGACGGCACAGGACGGGGCAGGTCAGCTCTTGTTCACAGGGTCACTGTCATACACATTCACAGTCGACGGACAGCCCCTGACAACAACACGCGTGTGTGTGTGTGTGTACATGTGTGTCACGGCTAACAATAAGGATGGGAATCCCAAAGGACTTAATTGTGTGCATGTGAAACCTGTATCGAGGCTAGCAGGCTGTTGTGCAAATAGAGCCAAGGAACACTGTTGTTGTTGTCAGGTGCCGTCAAGTCGAGTACAAGTCACAGCAACCCTGCGAAGAACACATCTGACCCCCGTCCTGTCCTGCGCCGTCCTCACACTTCCTGACACACTCAAGCCCATTGCAGCAGGCACCGCCACAGTCCACCTGGTCGAGGGTCCTCCTCTCCTTCGCCGACCCTCAGGGATTAAAATTGAGAAGGGAACACATCAGGGTTGTATTCTGTCTCCATACCTGCTCAGTCTGTATGCTGAGAAAATTATCTGAAGAAGCTGGACTCTGTGAGGAGGACAACCTTGCTTGCTAAGAGGGAGGGCTTGCAGCACTTTTTTCAGATCAAGGAATGCAGCCTTCAGTGTAGATTGCATCTCAATGTCAAGAAAACAAAGATTCTTACCACTGAACCATCATGGTAGATGGAGAAAAGATTGAAACTGTCAACAACTTCATCTTACTTGGGTACACATTTAACACCCTTGGAACCAGAAGAAAGGAAACAGGAGATGCATTTCACTTGCAAAATCTGTAGCAGGACCCTTTCCAAATTATTGAGGAGTAATGATGTCATTTTTTTAAATTTTTATTGAATTATTTTTACGTGTACCGTCAAATCAGATCTGACTGGTACAGGAGGAGATTGCCCCTCCTTCTCCAGCAGAGCATCTGGTGGATTTGAACCGCGTACCTCTGGGATTGCAGTGCAGCGTCTTGCCACTAGGCCACCAGCGCTCCCTTAATGATGTCATTTTGAGGCCTAAGGTTGATCTGATCCAGGCCATGGTCTTTCCAATCACTCGCTATGCCTCTGAGAGTTGGACAATGAATAAGGATGGCAGAAGAATTGATGCCCTTGAGCTGTGGTGTTGGAGATGGGCACTGATGTCACACGTATGGCCACGAGAACAGGTATGTCTTGGAGATGGTCAGCCGAGGGCTCTGTGGAAGCAAAGATAATGAGTCTTCACCTTCCTTCGTGCATGTTGCTAGAAGGGGCTGTTTCTTGGCAAGGGACATGATGCTCGGAAAGGTTGAGGGTCAGCGAAGGAGAGAAAGACCCTCGACCAGGTGGACTGACATGGTGACTGCTGCAGTGGACTCTAGTGTGTCAGGAAGCGTGAGGACGGCGCAGGACAGGACGGGGGTCAG